AGAGAGAGTCATTCAGTCGTTGATTCATTCATTCACTCGCCCGCTCGCTCGCAAGTAACATAACACACAACACAACGTGCAAGCAAGACTCGTACCCAACCACCCCCTCGCCAGCCTACATGCCTTGACGAGCAACACCAATCTTCTCATCCACGTCCCTCCACTCCTCCAGACACGCCTCGTTGAACTGGTCCGGATACTCCCACATGCAGGCGTGCCCGCCCTTGGTGGTGCGCCAGCGACTCCCGGGGATGAAGGCGTGTAGCTCGCGGGACAGGTATACGGGGATCAAGATGTCGCCTTCGCCGGCGAGGACGATGACTTGGGTCTTGATCTTTGATGCTGCTGCTGCTGCGGCTGCGGCTGCTCCTTCTAATTTCTCAACTCCACTTCCACCTTTGACGTCCAGCGTAATCTGTCCCAGCCGTCCCAGCGAGGCGCGCGTGTCGAACGTGGTGATGACGTTCAACTGGGCCAGATAGGCCCGCAGGCCCATGTCGCTGTCGATGCGGGCCATGTCGGCCTCCATGGCGACGAGCTCGACCGAGTCGACGGCGAAGCAGGCCGGCGTGAATGCCCACAGGGCCACGTCGCGCATGACATCGGCGACGGACATTCGCTGCGCCATGTCGCGCCACAGGGCGAACATCCTGCTACAGAAAGGTCCCGGCGCGGCGTACGTGCACGCCAGGGTGAGGCTGGCGATTTCTCCAGAGGCGCCGTACGCCAGCGCGTAGGTCTGCGCAATCATGCCGCCCATGCTGACGCCCATGAGGTGGTACGGTACGTGCAACTTGAGTGCTGTGACCAGGCTGCGCAGGTCCCCCGCCATGGTCTCGGCCGTGTAGACCTCGTCGTCGCTCTCGGGCCGCGACGACAGCCCGATGCCGCGGTTGTCGTACGTGAGCACCGTGTATCCTGCGCCCGTGAAGGCCGGGGTCTGTGCGGCCCATGTGGTCTGCGGGTCGGCGAGGCCGTTGATCAGGACGACCCACGGCTTTTCTGTCGGTGCCGAGGGCTGGTGGATCGTGTAGTTGATGCGCACCGAGGGGGAGATTTCGAGAAAAGGCATATTGCTTTTGGGACCCGAGAGAGATTGTGTGTGTGTGAGACGTTTGTGTTGATATAATGATATATTGATATGATGATATTGCTTTTTTCCCTCCTTTTCTGCCCTCGTCCAATAAACCCCAGCAGCGGATTCTATCGACCCATATATGAGAGATCGAGTGGTCAACTCCGACAGACAATCCAGTCACTCAGTAATAGATATGTGAGATGCAGGATAGAGAGCGTAGATATGTATCAGTCCCTAATTCGTCTCAATCACCATCTATTGATCTTCTTTAAGCTGATCACGTACACGGTCATATGCGACTTGAATGCACTCTTCATCTGCTGTGTTGTGCTGTACTGTACTATATACTGTGTAGTGAGAGAAATACCAACTTCGTCCACAACCACCAATCGCCCGGATATAGCTATCAACCAGATGGAACCCCACTCAGAGAGGGACGACGATATCAGGACAACGAGATGAGAGACTCAGGCACTGCAAGAAAACAGTTCATCTTGGATACCTTGGACAGATAACGGGTATCACAGTACTCGGTACAACGGTATAACGGAGATTGGCCGAACAGAACAGAACAGAACTGAATAATCAATTTCCCCCCCAAATGGCGAGGCCGGGGCAAGACAAAGACACGATACATGGGCGGTATTCTTTTCTCCGTCAACCTCTTTCCCTCCTTTTTCTCATCTCAAAATCCAGTAGAAACAAGGCTCGAATGCTCAATAGGAGAAACGTCTGGTATTACACCCCATAAGATCCATACTTCTATTATTTCATTGATCTGAGTTCGTTTTCCACTGTCTAGCCTCCAAGAGGACGAGACGGACAACTGACACCTGGGACTGAGAACACGGACTTCTTCATCTTGTCAACGCATACCCCTAATTCTGCCCTTCTCCCTCTCTCAAAAACAAGACCCCGACAACAACGACGACAACATGCCGATGATATACACAGAGTTATAGATTCCTTCCTTCATTCCCCGACGCCGCGCAAAAATATCACGACCAAAGAAAAATCCTGGCCGGCACGAGAATTCTCATCTAATGATCTTCGTTAACAAAAACAAAAAAAGTTGGCCCCAAAAAAGAAGACATCTTTTTGTACTCCAAGAAACGAAAATCCTCGCCAGGAGATAGAACCATCCAGGTACAAACCTTCATCAAAAAAAACATTCCAACTCCCTGGGCGCGCACGTAAATGTCTTCTATGCTGGCTCCGTAATCGACCCCTACCCCTTGTTTCCTCATCGATCGGCCATTTCTAGCTTCTGTACATTGCCATCGTCATGGCCGCCACTCGTCCAGGTGTGACTCCAGTAGGTAATCGTATAACTCGGCCAGTGGTCGGTTGCGAGGAGCTGTTTGCATCGCTCGGCGTTGAAGGCCTCCTTGGTAGCCCAGCACACCTCTCGATAAGCCTCGCCGTCTCGCTCCCACGAGTACGGGTAAATGTACTGGAAAGGGAGCACCTCGATGGAATGTTTCAATCCCTTGCGCGGGTTGAATTGCTTTGCCGTGGGATTCTTGGACACGTGCTTGTCCAGGGCCTCCCCTGCCCATTTGCTGTCCTCCTGGCGGTATTCGTTGATCATGTCGTACAGCTTTCCTGGACCCGTGATGCCTTCCACGTTGTCCATGTCCCCTTCTTCCGTCATCCTCTTCATGACCGACTCGAGCACGATCAGGAAAAAGGGGTGACCCGGCGTCGAAGCCATCCAGGCGTTGGGGATCGAGTTGGAGGAGCCGTGGTCGGTGCCCATTCTGCCAAAGAAGGCTTTTCGACCGCTCTTCAGCATATTCTGGGCAGATTGTGGTTTGGGTTTGGCGTGCGACGCGGTCGTCACGTTGTATTGGGCAAACATCTCGTCGACAGGTCGGAGACATTCAACATCCAAATCAGCGTACACCCTGCACCCATCGGTCAGCTCAAACTCTGCGCACGTTTGTATTCCCAAAGTACTCACCCTCCAAACATGTACATGTAGAGATTTCTCACCAAATCCGCCTGGTAGATGACGCTGGGCAGACCCAGGTATGTCTTCAGCAGCCAGGGAAAATGTGTCCGGACCAACTCTTCATTGTCCTCGTCCGTCCACAACACCCACTCCCAGTCCGGGTGTTGTTGCCTGCATGTCGAACTCCAGCGCTCGAATTTGGCAGGCAGCTCCGTTGACGCCCAGCTCTGGTGCATCAGCTTGGGGATGGTCTGCAGGTCGCGGGAGATGGGTCTCTTCATCAAATCCACCGGACTCAGGGCTTTCGCCTGCTTCTTGTGTGAATGTTTGAACCCCGATGAGGATGACGAGTAGCTAGTCCCGCCAGATCCGGCCGCGCTGTAGGGCTCATAGGTCGTTCCGGTCATATAAATGATGGCGAGGGCCGCGAGCACGAGCAACACGATCCAGCGTAATGACCGCCGCGATCCGTAGAGTTGTTGTAGAGGGTTTCCATTTCGAGACGAGGGGTTCAGATCCATTGCTGGACGAAGGATCGAGAGGACGGGACTGGATGGAAAAGGAGGGGGGGCCGAAAAGGAGGGCGAGGTCTGTGTGTTGATGATTTCCTCCCACACACAGCTGCTGCTCTTTATGGGATCCCAAGTCTCTCAAAGAAAGAGAGGTCAACTGAAGGAGCGGCAGTGAGTTGGGAAGCATCAGACCAGCTGCACCGAGCAAAAGGGAATTAGCTAGGGACAAGGACAAGCATCTCGAATTTCCCAGGCTCGCACGAATAATTGACACATGTTCCCCAATGATGCGGCGCGGCCCAGCAAGGGAGAAAAAGACCAAGACTCTGGCATATCTCAGACCAAAGCCTAATTCTTCCAGAGTCGGACAAGCTCAGGGGCAAACTGTGGGCTTGGGGGGATAGGCCATGGTATTTACTGTATCTGGAACGAGGGTTCTCGGCCTCCGCCAAATACTTTTGGGTACTTGTACTTTGGGTGGGAGCCGTGGCTGGCGCTGACCTGTTACGGAGAGGGGTCGGAGGGATCTCAGGCTTCGGCTGATGATTGCAAGGGTTGTGCTTTTTGTTTGTGCTGTGCTGTGGTTGTGGGTGGGAAAAGGGACTGGCGCAGGCCATGGCGCAGGCACAGGCCGAATGGTTGCGCAACAGACTTGATCCCTGATCCCTGCGTCCAAAGGGGGGAGTTTCGGACCTCGCAAATCGACCACATAATTAGCAAAGTCCAGGGTCCCAATCACAGGAATGGACTAGACACTCATCCTGCCTAGTTTGTGTTTACCGATCGATCACCGATCTACCGGGTAGATTTTCCCATACGCGTCTCTCGTCTCTACGTGTCAGAGAGGGGAACAAAGCCGTGATAGGAGAATACCCGAAGAGCGCAGCCCACGATTATTCAGACACCAGTACCGCGTAGAAATCGTCAATTGCTGCACCTAAACCAAGAAAAGGGGTATCGCTCGACTATAGAAAAAAAAAATCCAAAAGGTTCTTTGTCCAAACTTTTTCGCCTAGCCGGAATCATCTACGGCTGTCGGATCTCAAATATACCCAAGACGACCCGAGATTTCAATATGGTGCAATTCAATCGCCGACCGGGTATTGCGCAGACTGGCGAGCTGCAAGCTCGGGGTGCATCATGTCTCGAGGCGGGTGCGGTGAGCGGGAGCGGCAGGGGGCTTTGCCGTGTTTCTAGAACTCGCACAGACTGCACAGACTCCACCACACTCAACAGAGCCGGTCTGAAGGTGAGGTGGGATGTCGCTCAAGGAGTCTGACCTGCCTGCAGACGTGGCAACTCGACGTCGTGCTTGTGACTGGTGTATAGCGGCGGCTTCGTTCGGCGACCACCATCAATGAGTTGGAGGTTTTGGTACGAACGACTGTGCAGTCAAAAAGTCGAGTTCCGGCGGTATTCAAGTGGTGCTCAAGGACGAAACTTTCCTTGTCCCGAATCATCCGTGTTCGGGTAGAGGCTGAGGTTCCAGAATTTCAACGTGACCAACCGCCTTCCCAATCTCCTTGATACTCATCGGTGGTGCGATGTCAGGATACTGACTGCGGAATACCGTTTTTCCATGCAGGAAGTTGGGAATGTTTTGCCGCATGGGATAGACCAGATGCAGCGAGCTCCCTTCCTCGACCACTCTCTCCGAGTCCGGACCATATCCGATGTCGCTCCACTTGGCCGTGTTCGCTGTTGGTCGGGAGACCCCGACAAGTTGCGGCCATGGTGATACGCAGTTGAACTCGTACTCTTTGTTCTTGCACAGAGTGGCCAAACCCCAGTCCACTGGGCTGTTGTAGGGTATCATGGAGAGGTAGTAGAGAGCTTTCCGTGCGCCTTTTTGGGAAATGGCGTATGCCGCCGTGCAGACTCCTCCTTCTGAATGGAAGACTATTCTCGTGCGGTTGTTGCCATGAGGGCCACTTTCCCAGTGACTCATGTCGGGTTGGTCGACATTATCGACGCGAGCTTCAGGCGGCTGGACGGTGAAGTCGTCTGGGATGACAAAGAATCGACGGTTGTCGGCTGGAAGAACCCAGGTGCCGCAGTGTCCAATCCACAGTATATCCCAATCATGCCCATACGGCGAATGGGAAAATGCATCCTCTGAAGTGTTGGTGATGAATCTCGAGCCTCGGGCGAACTGGACCAGTTGCTCTTTAAGGGAGACGTCCCAATCGGCGTCATCCTCAAAGATCAGAGCTGATGAAACTTTGTCGTGCACCATTTTCTGGTAGACATTCAAATGTGCGCGCCAACAACCGATGACATTGGCACTTTGGCTCATGGTCTGCTCACTGTTTAGCAATCATTCAAAATGTGTTTTCTCCGTCCGGCAACATACGTGAGGTAGTGCCTTGACAGGAACTTCATGACCGTACACTCCATCCACTTGTGTATAAGAGATTTCGGAGAAGGCTGCTTGCATGGCAAAAGCATCTTGCTTGTCCGTCCTTCCAGGTAATGAAATCATGTATATCTCTTGAAAGCCCAGTGTTTCATTCTGCACTCGAGGGGCGAAGTCATCTGGTTGAACCCGGTACGCTACCTCGTCGGTCTGGGTCTTTCTGGGAGGAGAATACGCTTGCGAGGCCTCGAGGAGGGTAGGGGTTGCGTCAGCGTCTGCAGAATCAAGGACATCTTGCGCTTCGGGGCGGGGAGGGCGAAAGGAGCTATAGAACAGGATAAAAGCGGTAATGACGAGACCGACGACAATAAAGTTGAGCCGCGTGGGCGCAGAGAAGAGCATGGTGATCGTCACAGGGAGGGGGACCAGTGGTGAGGGACGGGATGGCAGAGGGAGGACATAGATTGGGGTAAAAAGTTAGAAAAGAAAGAATGTGTCACCTCCAAGCGAGTGACAATAGCGATATTTGCATCATAATAAAACGAGGGTGGCCTGAAGCGACGAGTAACGAGTGATGAGATGAGACGAGCGCCGGTGAGGTTGTCAAGGATGCGTTTGTAGTCGAGGGTTTTAGTTGTATAGACAAAGGACGAAAAGGGCAAGTTCAACGGTCCATCCTCCTCCTCCTTTGTTCCTTTGCCTCCTGCGAATGAAAAGATGCGTTGCGCAACAAGCTACCGAAGTGTCAGTTCCTCCCACCCGCTTCATATTCTGCAGCTGGAATCAGCTACGCCCCCTTTTTCATCAACTCTTTCACGATCCCAAGGGGGCCAGGAGAGGGCCGGAAACAGGCCCTGATCCTCCAAACCCCTCCGAAATCCCCCATTTGCACAGCAGAGAAAATGATCTGTGTCGATCTTTTGTGAATGCTCAACCCGTAACTGAGAAGCTGTACTCAAGAGATGGAAGAATCTGGTTGCTATAACAAATCCGCACCCCAGACGTCTTTCCACCATTTATCGAGAAGATTTTCTCTCTATACAAGGAACACTGCTGGCCACTGTCCCGGTGGCACATTGCACACATGTCCTATTCGTACTGGCAATCCTTCTCTTACAATGTCTGATGTCAGACTTGCAGCAGCTGATGTTGACCAGCTCAGCAGAATGCAGACAACGAGGTACATATTGAACGAAGTCAGGCCGCTCAACTGCATAACCACCAGCATTGGGCTCCTGTTACGGACTGACTGACAGCGGACTTGCAAGCGAATGCCCTTTTTCGTTTCTAATTGCGAGTCCCTCCAGACCCTCGGCTGGTACCGGCATCCCGATTCCGCCATGGAGACCAACAGCTGAGTGGAACCTGGGCTGGCTGGCCTGGCCGTGTGGTCAATTCCCTCCCTTTTCTCGATCACACATCACAGAAGCCCATTGGCAAAGCCAAGTACCACTGTACCAGGACGAGGCAAAGCACCTTTCCGTCTTTTCTTCGACACAAGGGGAACCGCCGCCCACCCAGAAGCTTGAGTTTTGCCCCCTAACCGTTGAACCAACTACCAATACGAGGCACTCAATACCAAGTCTTGTCCCTTGCCTCTTTGGTCCTTTCTTTAATGTACTCCTTGTTTCAAGGCACGCTGCGTTGCAATTGCCCGGGTGGAATCATGCAGGCCGTTGACCAGTTCTGCTCAACGGCGTGTGTTCCAACGTTCAAGACTGAATAATGTTCCAGGCAATGAGCGTTCTGCATTCCGGGACAATTGGCTATGGTCATGTTTCAGCTCCATTTCAGCTCCAGTTTCCAGACTCTTTTCGACATCTTGGCTATTCGTGTTCGACAAATTTCCTCTGTTCTCGACCCCAGCACACCCCTCAATGGCGCTACCTAGTCGGCCCCCAGTGGGTATCCCATGGTGCTATAGTCTTCTCGGGGAAGTCGACCATGCTATGCGAGGTGGATGCAGCACTTCGTTTCTCATCCGCACTGGTACCTACGGAGTAAGCACCAGGAAGGGGATGCCAAAGTTACATAAGACATGGACTAAAGTGCCTCACCAGGGTTATGTTTCTCGTGTCGCAGCCTTAACCGTTGTTCTTTTTCTCTTCTTACACCGCAGTCCCTAGTCAAAAGTCTCATTCTTCTCTCCCTGCCGATCCGTTGAAAGCTGTTGTTCTGCCATCGTTGTTGCTTTTCTGCCCTGTGTGTTTGTCCTTTCTATGGGTGTTGATCACCGCTCTCGTTAATATCTCTTTGCCACCTTACAAAACACAAGTTCTGTCGAACCTGTACCTGCGGAGGCTATAATCCTACTATACAGCGTCTTCAGCTCACCTGTTCGACATGGCTAAACCGGGGACACCCAAGAACCTCAAACTCGAGGTTAATGACTTCGGATCTTCAACGTCCTCGTACGACCCGAAGACGATGGCCTCTCCCGGTCGAGTAACCAACTTCAAACCACTGGCACTCCGAGCTCCCACACACACCTCACTCGATATCGAAGACCTCTTTGTCGGACCCCGGGACATGAACCACCACTCCAAATGGCCCTGGTTTGCGCGTCTGCACGGTAGTGTGCTGCCCAAGATGATCCTGCCGCTCGCGTTCGTGGCCGGCTGGGCGACGTTGTTCACCTGCATCAACAAGTTTGTGTACGAGCTGGTGTTTGACTCGGTCCTCCTCACCATCACCGGTTTCGTGGTCAGTTTGGCGTTGTCGTTCCGGTCGACGACGGCCTATGAAAGATACAGCGAGGGGCGGAAATACTGGGCACAGTTGATTGTGACATCGAGGAATCTGGCGAGGATCATCTGGATTCACACCAAGGAGCGACATTCCATGAGCGAGGAACAGGGCAAGTCGGAGCTACTGGCCAAATTGACCGCGCTGAACCTCATCAATGCTTTCGCCGTGGCCCTGAAGCACCGACTCCGGTTTGAGCCCTCAACCGACTACCCGGATTTACAACCGCTGATTGGGAACCTGCACACCCTGGCCAGTGAGGCGGACCAGAGCCAGCTGCAACCCAAGCGAGCCAGCTCGTGGAAAGCCGCCGGGCAGTACCTGGGGGTGTCGTTCGCCGAGTCGAACCCGCGCAAGCTGATCAAGCGGTCGCGGGACAACCTGGGCAACCTGCCGCTCGAGATCCTCAACTACCTGGGAGCGTACCTGGACGAGGTGTGCAGCAACGGGCAACTGACGCTGCCGATCCACCAGACGACGGTGATGAACAGCATCGCGCAGCTCGCCGACATCCTGACGGGCACGGAACGGGTGCTGAACACGCCGGTGCCGATCGCGTACTCGATCTCCATCTCGCAGATCACGTGGGTGTACATCCTGACGCTGCCATTCCAGATCTACAGCAAGCTCGGGTGGGTGACGATATTCGGGGTGGTGCTGGCCGCGTACATCATCCTGGGCTTGGCGGCGATCGGGTACGAGATTGAGAACCCCTTTGGCGTCGACGTCAACGATCTGCCGCTCGACGACTACTGCCGTGAACTGGCGTCCGACATTGACGTGCTGACGAGCATGCCGGCGCCGAATACCGAGGGCTTCATCACCGCCGCGAACAACAAGGTGCTCTTCCCGCTGAGCATGAGCGACTACGAGCTGTGGAATGACCGGTCCGTGGCCGAGATCCGAAGTGCCCTGCGTGCCAAAGCCACCACGGCAGCGACGTCGGTCGACTTTGAGCGCGCAAAGGCCCAAGTCGAGAGCAACAGCGAGGGGATAACGGATCGAGGCGCACCGCCTGTCCAGGAGACCAAGACCCGAGACATAATGGCCGCTGAAGCGGTGTAGGCGGCACACCTCATTCATCTCACATGGGATAATTATACTCTATCCCGCCACAGTTCGCTAGGGTAGAGGAGTAGAAAAAAAGCTACAGAGGGAACAACAAGCAGGATGAATCCAAAAACCAACCATCGGAGTCCATGTACGAGTTCTGTTTTTTTCTTGGGCAGGAAAGGCGAAATTGTGATATATATACATGGTGTGTCTATACGGTTTCTATCTCTTTTGGCGCGATCTTCCAGCAGCATGAGCATATTTAGCGAAGGCGAGTTCCGAGTCCGTGGTCCGAGATATTTGTGTTTTCAAGGCAACAAAATTTACCACAAAAGCAATAGTTTCTAAGAGAAAAGAAAATGAAAAATTAAAACAATATTAAAACAACCCAAGCAGTGACCTTCTCTTCGTCTGTCTTTTCCTGTTCCTCTTGGTCTGACAAGACACTGGATCTCACATGGGACTGGAAGTGGTGTTGAGCCTCGTCGGGCATGGCATCGAAGAACAGAGGCGAGAAACATCATGTCCCTTTCTTGATTCTAATCTGCCCGATTGGGTAGGTGTGCTGTAATAGATCGAGATGACCGACGTCTCTCTGTTCTTTCCAATCTTCTTGCCTCGCAGTTGAATGGCGACGGTCTTATCTCCCCACACTAAGCGTTTTTCCTCCCAACCCACAGCTTTCTCCAGCGACAGCGAAAACGTGAGAGAGCAAGAGAGGCTACGGTCCCCAGAAGCTGGTATCATAAGAGGTAGAGAAGGGGGCGCCTGCGATCAGGAACGAGGGTAGGCATGAGTGGCACGCTTCTTACATTAATTCCTTGTTAGTCGGGCTCGGAAAATAGGAGTAGAGATACGACAAGTATGTACGTACATAGATAGGCACATAGGTTAGAATAGTGTGACCATTTATCGACCAAGGGACGGAATCTATTTCTCCCTACTGCCATGTTGTAGCATGCTTTGACGAGGACAGTGGGAAGCCATCCAGTGTGATTGTCATGGTCCGTCATGAGAGCCAGAGAGACAAGACAATCATCAGTTTCTCTTCCTCTTTGCGCGGAAGTCGAATCTCGTCAAGACTCCCACTGCCAGCATATTGACCTCGAGCCCTTTGAGAGCTTTTGCCCTGATTCTAGAGACTTTTAGCATCCTCTTTTGAGATATCGATGTTAAAGTTGGTCTCTTCGCGAGACATGATTCAGTGGACAAAGGAGGTGTCCTGTTTGTCTTTCTGTCAGCAAGACTGGACCTGTTACTTGTCCTCCCACACTTGTCCTACCTACCCTCTTGGGGAGGTTTTGCGGTTAATCAATTGGCCGCGGATGGAATGGACCAAGCTGCAACGGTATTGATTGAAGCTCAAAACGTTGTCCGTTGTCGACGTTGATATAGAATGGTGGAAGAACAAAATGGTTCGAAACCGAGTCAAGAGAATGCGGTCCAGAAGAATGAAGGTGGTTTGACGGGTTCTGACGTCCCATTCGCCGATTGTGCTGCATTTCTGCCTGTGATACACCGGCTATTTCTTTTCGCAATGTCAAGGGGTCTCCCTTGAGCCGCTCGAACCTGGCAAAGGTCGTGTTATTGATTGGTATTGGTCCTGGCTCAGGCAAAGCCTCAGGGTTTCCTTGTGATACCATCCCGTGAGCTAACACAGCTAGCTATATCATCATTGGAGTCTTGCAGACACCGGCTCGGGTTGTACACACCCTGATCAGTATTTTCCCGCTGTGGCAAAGGCGCGTGCTCTTCAGTAGAAGGGTAAAACCATGCGCCGAGGAAGTCGATCAAGCCTGCAGACGTCAAGAAATGACGAAGTGATCCAAGACACCTGTCATCCACTTTGACAAAACCCATCGCCATCTCCTGAAGTACTTGCTTTGAACATCCTGTTCAGCAGCTGGTCCAATTCTGTTTTCTCCTCCATCGTCAAAAGTTCCAGGCGATCATCGACGGTCCCGACTCCAAAAAACCTTTTATCAATCTTGGCCCAATAGACCATGTCGAACGCCCAGCATCGCCTTGCCGCATAAGTGACCCAAAAATCACCCGTCTTCCAGCTGTCGTCCATGAATTGCGAGAGGCATTGGTCTTCCCGCAATGTCCCTCCCTTGATGGCCGCGGTTTCGCTCTCACGCACTGCCGTTAGGAAGATGGGAAGGCGTTGCTCGTAGACGTGCGTCCAATCGTCCAATCCATCCGGCCAGTACTCGGGCAGCTCAAGGAGAAGCCAGACTGGTGCACTGTAAGCGAATTCGCGGGGCCCCGCGTAGGTGAATTCCCAGTCCACTACTCCTGTGACCTGAAATTCGGCGTTTGACAGGACGTTTGCAGGCCTGAAATCATCGTTGACCAGAGCAAATGGCCCTCGGTCGCTTGCTCTTCCATGCATCGTAAATCTGCACACTTTGGTCCCATGATTCATCGTCGTAGTCTAGATTCGTGTCGGTGAAGACTGGAGACGACATGACGGAAGAGGTTAGCTGGATAGGAGGGGCATATTGGCGTGAGTTGAACTGAGTAAATACTCTCTTTTGAGGCTCAGAACATGCTGTCAAGGTATCCAAGGAATTCCCCCTGCGCGACCCCTTTATTCAGGCTTGGCATGCCGCATGCGTTTCAGATGCAGTCGCCCACGTCTCAGCCTGTCTGTCATGGCCTGCACTGCCTTCTCTGGGGTCCCTCACATGACCCTGGGATGTGCCAAGAGCGCACGCCCTACTCATCGCACGCTGGGAGCTGTCTTACCTAGGACTCCCCCAACGCTGTGGATAACTTCTGTGTTACACCTCCTGTAGCTGCCATCTATCAATTGGCTAGCAACCTATATCCTTATATCTACCGGTGGCCTCTCTGGGAACCCTAACAAAAGTGTTGCAACTCAGGGCTGTTGCAACTCGTGTGGTAGGGACTTACTAATGTAAGTCTCCAGCTTTGCAGCACTCTGGTATGCCGCCCTCAGAGCCCTCAAAGACGTGAACCAGACCTTTCCCGCCAGTTCATTGATTGTCCAAGGGCAAGAGACCTTTCGAACACCCTGGGCCTGGGGGAGTACGTTCCAAACACATGGTCGAGAACGGTCTGCGTACCCAAGGAATGATCGTGTCTGGGAGTGAGGAGGATGCATACAGGTTAAAGGGCGGGACAGCTGCATGGCCTCCAAACGAGCAGGTAGGTGATTCCACGGTAACCATGAGGATGAGACAGCTCTTCTGGACAACTGTGGAGGATGAGCTCAGCAATGGGAAGACGGCCAAGGTCAAATGGAATAATTGACTGGCGAGACTGGTATCGCGTTGGCCGATGAGTTACAATGGGCCATCGTGGTGCGGCTCGAGGTGGAAGTGGAAGTCTGATCAACACAAGAGTAGTGAAAAGATGGACAGTTCAGGGGCTATATACGAGGTATATATGTGAAGGTACTGACCTCCAAACCAATCACTCCACCAGGGAAGCAGCCTGTTCAGTCTTCACAGGTTCTTTCTGCCTCTTCCGTCCACCATCCACCAATGTTCCCTTTCTCATCTATTCTTTTCCCTTTCTTCCCGTCATCTCATCATTTGAACCGCGACAATGCGGGCATGGTATGCCTCCTACTAACATATTCAAGCATCCTTGCTCTTGGCGGCCAGTTGTCTAGGCATCTCACCCTTCTCGGCCATGTCGTTGAGGACCTTCTCAGCGGTCTTGAAAGCGTCAACGCCGGCGGGAACACCGCAGTAGGTGGTGGCGTGGATGATGGCCTCGCGGATCTCCTCCTCGCTGAGGCCGTTGTTGCGGGCGCCACGGACGTGCACGGCCAGCTCGGGCGCGCGGTTCAGCGCCATCAGCATGCCGATGTTGAGCAGGCTGCGGTCGCGGCGTGACAGACCCGGCCGCGTCCACGCGTAGCCCCAGCAGAACTCGGTCACCAGCTCCTGACCAACCCGCGAGAACTCGGTCGACCCGTTGGCCAGTGCCCGGTCCACGTACGCATCGCCCACCACGGCCCGGCGCACATTGAGGCCGGCCTGGAAGAGGTCTTCGTGGAATGGGCGCAGGGCTGGGTCCACGCTGGATGTGGGTTTTTGGGCGTTTGAGGAAGACATGTTTGTTTTGGATTGAATTGGGAGGGGCGGTCGATATAGATCTGGGGTGCTTGCCTTGTGGTTGTGAAGGAGGGATGTGTCCGAGTCTGACTGTCTGCTCAATGTATTTTCTGGCTTCTCTTCTCTTTTCTTCTGTGAATTGTCTATGCGGAGTTTGTCAGTGTCTCTCTTTTTATTTACTCCTCTCTCGAGTTGGAGATAAAGTGGACTGACCGACGGAGTGACTGACTGAGTGATCGATTGGCTTTCTGACTAGTTTGCTGACAATGTAACCTACAGCATGTATATACCTTTTCTTTAGCAAACTACAAGAGAGAACAAAAAAAAGAAAAGGAAGAATAAAAAAAGCCCAAACAAGACAAAACCTTTTTCCTTTCCTTCTTCCCCTCCCCCTCCATCCCTCTAGGAAGACAATTCATTCCATTGACACGCATTCGTCTTGCGTCCGTCGTCCCTCCCTCCTACTCTCTGTGTCTGTTTGGTTACCCCACCATGCCACCCGAATCCAATTATCGTGCCGTGCTCCGTAATCGGGGCGAGTCAGCCGCTCCGCCTCGGCACTTTTTTTTTTCTTTCTCCAAAATCCCTTTTCTCCAATTCTTTCGGAAACCCATTCCCCAACCATACCGAGCAACGCGCAAAACCTTTCGTGTGAAAAAGGTGGGTGGAATAGTGGGAAAGGGAACGGGAACAAATGGTGGTGGCGACGGGAAGAGGGCGAGAGGCTTGCAAGGACGCAATATGGTGGAAAAGGGGAGCCATACACGTCAGGGGGGAAAAGGGACGTTGGTAAAGAGGATTGGGGGTCGACGCGATTGGACACAAGGTAAGCAAGCCATTATCGTAGCAGTGCAGCGAGAGACGATCGGAATGGTCACCAGTATACCGAGTACAAGATTAGATGGTACCGATGTATAGATATGTCCGCAAAGTGGCAAGGCTGGAGGGAGTTTACATACAGCCAGAATGAGACAGAATATCAATCCTCCTTGCTCTACCGTCTCTCCCTGCCGAACACACTCTCTATTTCTAGATTCCAAGTAATACGTGACCAAGTACCCAGTATAACATTGGTATAGTATCATCAAATCATGACAGCTTGCTGGCCGTAGCCTCGTCGGCGTCCTTTTGCCAATTCTCGTTTCCGCCCAAGTACCGAAACACTACCCGAGAGTCCAGATCCATGCACCGGGGATCCTTGCTGGCGCCGTCGTAGGTGGCTAGGCCAGCCTCGCCTAGGACGTTGTTGGCGCCGACGCGCTTGGCCATCTCCAGAGCCAGCGAGAAGTCCTTGCGCATCAACTGCACCTTGAAACCATTGGTGTATCCCTTGGATGACGGTGCCTCGGCGTACACACCCGGCACGGGGCAGAAGCGGTCACAGATGGTGTTCTGCGCCGTGCCCGCGCCGTAGACCTTGTGCAGCACCCGCGGATCCAAACCCGAGCGCATCCCCATGTCCATGGCCTCGGAGACGGCGATGGCGATAATCCCCGAGAGATAGTTGTTGGACAGCTTGGCCGCGAGGCCCTTGGACGGGCCGCCGCAGGGGATCACTTCCTTACCCATCAGGCTCAACAAGCGGGTGAGTTGAGACAAGTTCGGGTCCGCGCCGTCACAGCCCAGGAAGAAGGCGATGGTGCCCTTTTGCGCGCCCACCACGCCGCCACTCACAGGGGCGTCGTAGAAGGCCGTTGTGGGGAATTTCTGGTTGACATAGTCCTTGACTGCCAGGCTGCTGGCCGTGTCGATTGTTGAGCAGTCGATCAGCAGCTTCCCCGAGACGTCGCTGGAACAGATGGTCGTGTCGCCGCTACCCTCCATATATACCAGGCGGACGTGTTTCCCTTCGGGTAGCATTGTCATGATGACATCCTGGTATTCCCCGCGTGACACGTTAGCAAGATCTTTGTTCCTCAGCTCTTGAGCCTCCTTCTCAACCGCCATCACTCACTGATTTATCCGCCACCTCTTTCGCGCTCGAACACTTGGTCACTCTCTCCGGGTAGTCGTGGTGCAGCTGGTCCACACTCGACTGGTTGATGTCGTAGACGTACATGTGCACGTTCTCGGGCAGCTTAGCAGCAAGGTGGCCGGCCATGGGAAGTCCCATGGCCCCTAATCCCACGAACCCTAGGCCTGAGATCTTTGATAAATCCATCTTTTGCAGACCGCCGCTACCCAGCTTCGAGGAGATTGGTGAGGAAAGTCGAGTAGGGGAGAAAGATTATAACTGAAGGAGGTTTTTCATTCCAGGTCTTATGTAAGTGTGAATTGCGGCTCTGTGTCAGTGGTATAGCAAACAACTTTAGTCCGCGGGATACGTAGAAGATGCAGGAATTCTAAGCGTTAGAATCACCATGTGTTCTAGTCTTGGTCCAGTCTTGTTTGATATGAGCGAACCACGAATCAAAATCAATCTGTAATCCTCTGGGATCGGACAAAAAGCAGGGAATTGGGGTAAAGGGCAAAAAAAAATAGGGCCCCAGTAGATGTGGACGACGGCATTGTTGACCCTTTTCCGATGGTTTTGGAGAAAATGGGAGAGTTTGGGAGGAGGATGAGGAGAGACAGAGTGGCGTACCTGGCACCCACCTGGAAGAGGGACATGGAGGGGGAGAATCAGCCCACCAATTAGACGATTTCAAATTCGGTTCGTTTTTATTTCTAGAATATTTCTACAAGGAGAAGGTCTTCTTCTGCTCGATCCCTTTCGTGGTTGATGATTCTGATTGGCCAATAACAAACTCGATTCTCCAGCCTCGTCAGTCTCGCCAAGGCTCACGAGGCTGTGATTTTCTTTCCCTCACCACTGTCTTCTTTCTTGTTTCCTGTCTCTTGTCATTGCCTTTTCAAGATGTCCTACCTAGACACCCAAATCATCCCTGTCACCCTCTTCGTCTCTCAATGAAGCTCAGGTCCTCTTCACCTTGATAGGTCAACTTGTTTCCCGCTCGCTTATTCCAGGTCAGCATCATTGCTGACATGCTGCCCTTGCCTGGATAAATTCCCGACGAATCACAATCGTTGCCATGCGTGTTACAACGTCTCGAAGCCACGCCCAGGCACGAGAATCTCGTACAATGAGATCCAATATCTCCGTCATCTCGGTTTGAATACTGGTGATAGCACTATGGCCGAAACATGTAATGCCTCATCCGAGTCAACGATGACGGTGGTGTGGTTATGGCCACGAGGCTTTGATCGCCACCCATCAGCCATCCACCATCGTCCATCACAATTTGTTTCCCTCACAGACCATCAGCTCACTCAACGGATATCATGAATAACTTCTCCGTATACGCCCAGCAATTTCTTCATAGCCCCGCAGAAAATT